TTACTATTAAATTATTATTAATTTACTATTAAGTTATCATTAATTTATTACTAAATTATCAATAATTAACTATTAAATTATCATTTATTTTTTGTTAAGTTGTTTTTTATTTAGTATTATATTATTATACATTTATAACTCTATTATAATTAATTTACCATTAAGGTATTATCATATATTATTATATTATTACTAATTTACTAAAAAGTTATCAATTATTTATTAATAAATTATCATTCATTTACTATTAAGTTATCACTTATTTACTACTAAATTATCGATAATTACTGCTATATTATACTAATTACATTTAAGTTTTTACTGATTAATTATTAAGTTATTAATTATCTACTACTATATTATCATTGATTTGTGTATATAAAAAAAGAAAGTAATCACAATTTATTCTATATGATGTAATTTGTCAGGTAGAGAAATAAAGAAGAAAAAGTTTAAGTTTAAATGACTTTAAAAAAAAAAAGAGTAAATGCTATTAATTTACTATCCCTAACTTAACATGCAATAATAAATTAAAATCATAACTTTTTATATCAATGCAAGTATTAAAACTAAATTAAATAAATATATACAATATATATTAAGTCAATACTTCTAAGATTTTTTTAAAATTTTATAGTTTATGGTAAAATAGTACATATTAAGATAAGTATTATTAATGATTTGATTGAATATATTTTCATATCTACTAGTGAACTATAATTACATATAAAAGATTGAAAATTTTGAAGTGTTCTATCATCAATGAAAGTAATAAATTATACCTTATGTTTTTATTTTTAAGTATAACAATTTTTGTTATATATATGACAAAAGTAATAAAAATATATTTACTAAATAAATTTTATAAAAATTAAACAAACAATAATTTTTAAAAAATATTAAATTCATAATAATTACCATCGTATTCTGCATATGAATTTTTTCTACTAACCAAAAATATGATATATTTTTAATTGTTACTTTATTCGTATTACCATCATTCAAAATAACTTTTTAATATTTTGACGCCAATTAACTTTTCCATTTAAAAAGAATAAAAAATATTTTGCATTCTCAAAAAAATATTTATTTAACTAAACAAAAAGATGGTATATTTTTAATTATTGCTTCATTTTTTTTTTTACCATCATTCAAAATGGCTTTTTTGATATTTTAATGCTAATCAACTTCTCCATTTGAAAAAAGTAAAGTGTATTGTAAAGAGTCATAATAACCAAAATAATGTTTAATTATATGTTGTCTTCATGAATGAATTTGAATTATGATATGATATATTTCAAATGAAATATTTGAAGTAAAATTTTATGTTATATTCATGAATGAGTTTGAATTATGATATGATCTATTTCAAATGAAATATTCGAATTAAGTCATTCAACCTATATAATAGCAACTTAATTAACAAATAAACAATTATAAACTTCTTGATTTAGATTAATATTTCTACAATTCAAATTTTAAAATCCTAAAATATATATATATAATCTTTTCAAAACTCGGGCAAAATAATCTTATTCTAAAATTATCATTAGTATCTTTATCACTTTTGCATTTAAATTTTATTATATTGTGTTTTTATTTTATTTTAAAATTTATTACTGGTATCTTAAAAGTATAATTAAAATAATATGAATTAATCAACTCAAACTTAAAACAATTCAAAACTCAAATTAAATATAAATAAAATTTTTACTCATTTTTAATTTTAATTTAATTAAAAATAATATAATACACATAATTATGAAAATGAATTAACTTGACTCGATTTCAATTGTTTTTAAAATGTTAACAATTTAATAGTTATTTAAAACCCGAAATGATTAAACATAATCCGAATTGAAATAGTAACCTAATTAAAATCCATTCTTAGTCATTCATCTTCCATAACAATTTAAAAGTTTTTTATTTAAGTTTTTTTTTCCTTCATCTTCAATGTTTTATTTTTATTGTCTTTGTGGTTAAATTAGTTAGTTAAATTTAAGAGTATTTCTAAAGTGAAATTGAAATTATAATTAATTTAGTATACTTATTTTTTATTTAAATTTAGGACGATTTTAATCAATCTTTTTAAACAAAGAGAAAAGTGCACCAATTATTAAGTCAGATTTACTTAGGTGTATGGGTGAATAATTATGTATACTATAACAAGAAGTTGATGATAAAACTTGACTCAACATAATCGATAACTGATTCTAAGTCTAAAATTCAATTTGAAATTATAAAAAAACAAAATTAAAAAGGATTGAAATACTAAATGCACAATTAAATAAGGATTTATCAAATGAAATTTGCTAATAAATGCCTTTAGATCACTTTTAAGTTTAGATAAATTATAATTTATAATAATTTTTTTTTGTTTTAGATGTAAAGTGATAATTAATTTGATGAATTTCAATTTTTTTTTGAAAAAATATTACAATGGTGAACATTCTTCAACTAATATAAAAGAGAAAATAAATGAGTATACAATGTTTCTCAATATAAAAAAGTTTTATATTAATCCCAAAGAAATATATAAATCAATATATTTATATATTTTTCATTAAAACATTATATAGCACTAACATTCTTTGTTATATGACGATAATATAATTATGTATAATTAATCAATTTTTGTTTCATTTTTTTTGCTTAGAATAATTTTCATTTGTACTTTCATTAATTTAATGTAATTGTATATTCTATCAATTCAAATGTCAAATTTTCTTTTATTTTAAAAATTTTATTATACATAAATTTTTATTATATAAAATATTAAACTACATAATTTTAAAAAATAAAACAAAATAAATTCCTAACTTTGATCCTTGTCATGTTTTCTTAAAAAATTTCAGTTTTAAGAATATCAAACCTGTTTTATAAACATATACAATTTATAATGATTTCATTTTCAACATTAACAAATAGAAAATTTTCATAAATGAATATAACTTTGGAATAAACACATTTAAAAAATAATTTCAATAAATTTTGTCACACTTTAAAAGAATTCATCAAAAATAATTAATTTTACTTCACTTAATACCTTTTTATTTAGAATAATTTACATTAGATTATTCAACCACTGAATCATTTGATAAGAAAAATCATTTTACTTATAAAAATAATCTAAAAATAAAAAAGTTATTTAAATTAAAATTTACAAAAATTATTAATGATATTTTGATGAATCACTTTTAATATTTTTTAAATTAAAAATTTATTAAGGATATCTTAATCAATCACTTTTAAAACTTCTTTTATCAAATTATACAAAAAGAGTCTAATAATAAAATAAATTCATTTAAATTAAAATTTATAAAAACAGTTAGCAATGATGTTATAGGCGATCACTTTTAATATTTTTAGAATTAAAATTTTAAAAATTTAAGCAGTTTAATTTCATGTGAACTCTATCTTTAATTTTAATTGATTTAAATTAAATTTTAAAAAATTAATAAAAATTATACATATCTAAGGATAAATTTATTAATTTAAAAATTTATAAGAACTTTTCATTTGTGAAAAAAAAAAGCAAAGGTTGTCTAATAAAACTTTTCTTATCTTAGTTGATACGTTAAGGAAGTTTTACCTGGAATAAAAAAAAACAAAAACAGATTCATAGAGGTTTAATTAGTGAATTACTTCCATTCCAGCTTCCATTAGATAATAAAGATCTTATTCTAATAATAAAAATTTTTTATTTAAATTAAAGTTTTATAAAAACATTTACTAAGGATAATTTAACTAATTATTTTTAATAACTTTAAAATTAAAATTTTAAAATTTTAAGTAATTTAATTTCACATCAACTCTATTTTTAATTTTAATTGATTTAAATTAAATTAAAAAAATTAATAAAAGTAATATATATCTAAAAATAAATTTATTAATTTAAAAATTTATAAAAATATTTAATTAGATCATTATTCATTTTAAAATTTACATTTATATATATATATTTATATAAGGAAATCTCTTGAACCCATTCAACTTGGATTTTTTTTGGATAAAGCAAAATTCATGGGTTAATATATATATATATATATATATATTTATACGAGGAATTCTCTTGAATCAATTCAACTTGGATTTTTTTTGGATAAAGCAAAAAACATGTGTTTCTCCTTTATTCACCAGTCAAGCATTTCTTGGGAACTTGCCACACATAATTCTATTGAAGACTAATCAACCAAGCCAAAACACGGGTCTCAAGGCCTGATAATGACAATATTCACAGACCGAACCATAGGATTTTGTGTTGGCTTACAGGAACATATTTGTTTTCACTTATCTTTTGGTGTTGGGATTTTTGTTCTTCGGAAAATGATTCTGGATAAAAATTAGACCATAAGAAGGGTTGAACACAAAGATTATGAGGCAACAAAGCTACTGCTATTATCACCTTAAAACACAAAGGCCACAAATTTTTGGCCAAGTTTAGAGGCCTACGCCACGGATTTAACTAGCAGTTTTTTTTGAACCAAGTGTTTTTTCTGGCCTCAGATCCAAAGAAAATTAGCAGAAGAAACCCTCTTCGAGTAACAGCCTTCTCTTCTTTTTTTTTTTAATATCATGGTCAGTAAAGACATTGTCCCAATGTTGGTCCCCAGCTAATTTTAACAAACGTAAAAGCTTAAAATCACAAGATGAAAAATCGGATAATAGCAAAAGTCAAAAGTCTTTACGATATTTGTGTTATGGTTAAGTCAATATCTGGGAAGAGGAAAAAAAAAAATTGAAAGTATATATATATGAGAAGATTGAATTAATAGTATATGAAAGACGAGCTACTTATAAACGGAGGATGAGAGTGTCTCGTCTGAATAACTTAAATTCTAAATGATAGGACTAGGGTAAACATTATTAGCTCAACTTAATTTTACAATTAATAATTTAATTAGAAAGTGTTAAATCATTATTTTCATATGTTTTTAGATAACAAACGAAAGTAATGAATCTCGATATTTCAGATGAACTTAATACAATATTTCTAACCAATGTTATTTATGACTCACATTCTGACATAAAATATCTATTTTATCCGTAAGGCCATAAAATGGCCCTAAGAAAAATAGAAAAAAATTAAAAAAAAAAAAAAGAGAAAAAGGAAAAAGGCCGATCCTTTAGCAACTGCCCTAAATCATTTAACACCGCCAAGTCTGTATCTCAGATTTCTCACCGGTAGCCAAACCCGACATTAAATAAAAGGAAAGAAACAACAACGAAGGAGAAAAAGGGGAAAGGAAAACCCGGTCCCCCGTCTCTTGCAACTCACTCTTATCTTCCTGTTTTTCTTTCTCAAAAGCTTTGCAAAGGAAAAGCTAGGGTTCCATCCCACCGACCTCCATTTCTTCAACTTAAAGCCTCTTATCCAATAGTTAACATCCACGTCACAGTAGTACTCAAGTACCGCAAAGGAATTAAGAAAGGGTAAAAGAAGGTAAGATAAATAGGAGGAAAGAGATGGATTTGAGTGGTAGGAGAAGAGCAGGAGCTAAGGGCAGTGTTGTTGCAGGGTCAGTGTGGGAAACTAGGATGAAGATTGATGAAGTCAAAGGTGGAATCAAGGTTTTCAGTGGAGAAGAAAATAGTGAGAGTGGTAATGAAAAATTGGGCTTGAAGAACGGCCAGACTATTGGCGGTGTGGCTGTTAGTGGCAAGAGAAAGACTTGGAAAAGTGAGATCTTTGAAGGGTTTGAGAAGAACCCATTTCAGATTGCCAAAGGCAAAACTGAAGAACAGTGCAAGGAGTTGAGTGGGTCTGTTGATGGAACTAAGAAGAGCCCAATTCGGGTACCTAAAGGAAGATCCGAGGAACATTGCAAAGATTTGAGCTTGTCTGTTGATGGAATTAAGAAGACTCCAGTTCAGGTCAAGAAAGGAAGACCTGATGGGATTAGGGACCTTAGCAAGTCTTTTGATGGAACTGGGAGAAGCCCAATTCATTTGGAGATGCCAAGATCTGAAGTTCCTAAAAGGTCTGCCGATCTGAGTAGAGATGTTATTGAATCTGGTGAGAATTCAGTTCAATTAAGGAAGGCAAAACCAGACCCAGTTAAGGCCTCAGATCTGTCTGGTAATGGAGACAGATATGATGAGAATTCACTTCAATTGAGGAGGTCGAATTCAGAGGAGAATGAAGTGTTGGTTTTGGATGATCAATCAGAGGGGAATAATGTTTCCAATGAAGAAAATGAGAATAACCAAGTTGAAACTGAGTCTGAGGAGAACTGTAAGGAGTTTGATGTCTGCCAAGAAAAGGTCATTTCAAGCAGTACAAGCTATGGAAATATAGTCAAATCATCTCCTGAAGTATTAGTTGATGATGGTGATGGAGTTGAAGATGAAGATGATGAAGAATTTTATGATGACGAGGAAGAAGAGGAAATTGAGGTTGGGATTGAAAAGAAGAGCTTTGACATTAAGGAAATGAATGTACCAGAGGAGAAGCCTAACAGAGTTGCTAATGAATTGAAGAAATTACCAGAAGAAAAACCCAACAAAGCCATTAATGAAGTGAACAAGTTCCACGAAGATAAGTCTAGAAAAGCTGTCAATGAAGTGAAGAAAATTAGCGAATTCCATAACAAAACTGCACTTTCTTCAACTGTGAATAAGCAGCTTCCACCAGTTGTAAAGCGTGCTACTTCAGTTCACACAACTCCAATAAAACCTACAAAATCCACTCATTGTAAGTGTGTGTTTCTATTTGATGCTTTATTGAGATTAACATTGTTGTGTACTTTTCTCTTTCATTGTTTTTTTCTTTTTCTTTTTTTTTTTTTAAGTTCTGAATGTTTCTGACCTTATTGATTTCCATTAGTTTTAGTCTCAGATGATTACCATTACCAGAGGTTCCCACAGACTCGGAACAAATTGCAGAATTTAGGTGAGAAGAGATTTTATTTCTTGGAAAAATCAATGAATTTCATATTTTGCTACTTGTTTTATTCTTCTTCTTGTGTGTATTTGTTAATCTTTCAGTTGATTTAGTAATGTGGAGAGACTTATCCAAATCGGCACTGGTCTTTGGGATGGGAACATTGATCATTATCTCGTCCTCTTACACCCAGGACCTCAACTTCAGGTCTCAAAATTGTCAATGAAACACTAATTTCAATGTTGGATTTTTACCCTTTTTTTTTCCCAATTTCAACCTCCTCTGTTTTAAAACAGTGTCCATTGCTAAAACTCTGCTTGATCAATGCTTCTACAGCTGTATTTCTGTAATTTCCTATCTGGGACTTGTTTACCTTGCGGCCATCTTCGTTTACAGATCAATCATCTGCAGGTAATGCCCTGCATCAGATGCCATTAATCATAAATTAATGAGTTTTAATAAATTCTTTTAACCTTCTATCTTCTTTCTATAACAATGCAGGGGAGTTGTGGGTATAGATGAGTCAAGCTGTGTTCTTGGAGAAGATGAAGCAGTTTGGTTACTTAAATTGGTTCTTCCTTACTTGAATGAGTTCTTATTAAAACTCAGGGCACTCTTTTCTGGTGATCCTGCTACTACAATGAAGGTGATTTTCCTTTTTCCAAGCATTTGTTATTCATTTTCATTTAAAAAAAAAAGTTGATCAATTGGGACAATTGCAGTTGGCATTGCTGCTGTTTGTTTTGGCCAGGTGTGGCAGCTCCATAACTATCTGGAAAATGGCTAAATTGGGTAAGTTTGCTTGGTTGAAATCATAAATTTTACCTTATAATTTAAAACATTTCTTAAAAAAAAAAAACCCTTTTTCTGAAAAGACATTTCTGTAATCAGACACACAACAATGGATTGTCTCCTTTTTACAACTACTGAGAACAGAAGTGTTAAATTCTTTCACTTTTAACTAACGCATGGTTGTGCTGACTGTCTCAGGCTTTTTTGGCGTTTTCACTGTCCCAAAAGTCTGCTCTTCTTATTCCCACCAGTTAACTGCATACGGTAAATCCCCATCATTTGTTTTGTCTTCTATTATTCATTCCTTCGTTAATATATCAATCACATTACACTTTGGACGCCCCCACATATGACCTAATCTTTAAGATCTTGTTCGTCTGATTAATTTAACAGCTCTTTTTTTTCTTTGATTGATCTGATGATGTCTCCTTGGGGGTTAGATTTCATGGGTACTACTCTTTGATAAATGTTTAATGGACCCAAAACCTTTATCATCCCTTTCATAAAGCTTGGAACAACATTTTTAGCTTAATATTATAGGAGTAAGTAGTTAAGATAGCTTAATCTATTATGTTGATAGGCCTAAAGCGTCTACTTATAGCTAGGTAATCAATTTTAATCAAATAGGGTAGACTTTTCTTTTTTTTTTTTTCCAATAAAAAATTCCCAATCTTATTTTATTGGCTGCATTGAAATTGCGTAATGAGAAGAAATTATGTATTGCAAATTCAAAAGAGTTGATTTGATATATTCTTATTTCTTAAACCCGAATTCAAAATGATCTAAAACTTTTTAAATGTATGTGAATATGAAGGAAAAGTTTGGATTCGATGCTTTCATGATGCATGGGATTCATGCACACACAAAAAGGCTGTGGCAGTGGCCATCTTCATCCTGGTTTGGAACATGTCTTCACTTGTTGCTCGCATTTGGGCAGGTAATCAAGAGAAATGGCTTCACTTTTCAGCAAATTCCAAAACTACCTTCCTACGCAAAAATTGTTTCAACTGATGGGTTTTCTTTTTTGTCTAAAATTGTGTAGCATTCATGCTTTTTGTGGCCCTCCGATGCTATCAGCAAACAATGGTGACAGATGATTGGGTGGGGGATGAAGCTGGGCTGCAAGAACCGACGGGAAGGCAAAGACATGGGGTTGGGCCATCTAGAGTAGAACAAATTAAAGTAAAGAAAGGATCCTAAGAGTGAGCTTTGGGCCATGCCTACATTAAGTGTTCGCATGACAACATGTCCCAAGTTGTTTTTTTTTTTTTTTTTTTCATTTTGTCTTTCATATTTTTAAATACATAGTTTTATAGAAATATATTTTCTTCTTTTTTGGGGCTGTAAATATGCATGTTTGGTTTACGTGACTTTACTAGGCCAGCATGACAATAAACAATCGATATTTGATGTTTGATTATAATGGAAAAGAAACCTTTATGTGAACACATGGTGATAGTAGTAATGAACAATCTAGAAGAAGATGATGAAAGTATGGAACCAATCCTGCTCAGGCGTAAAAGTACAAGAAGAATACAAGAATACTAGCATACAAATTTTATATGAACTCCATGAAACAGCTTCAGGTCTTGCATCAACCATTTATGCGGACAATTATGGAACTGAAAATTAAGATTGTTCTTTTCATCCCTGATATAACCCCAGCCTGCGACGCTGTGACTGAATCAGGGTTTTCATTACCAACATTTTTCAGTTCCTTGAAGTTGACATAATCCAACTGCCAAGTGCCAACCAGGCGCACTGCATTTATTGAGTTTCCAAATTGTTGTGCTTCTGTTGCACCAAAAATTGGAATCGAGTTCCCCTTCATAAAACTTTATCCAGAAATAAAAGCATTTTCAAGCTGTTCAAAACATTCCTTTACACCTGAAATTATTTGTCATCAATTCCCCGGCTAATCTATTATGCATTTCATCTACCCTCCAGATGTTTTAAGGAGTCGAACTCAAAATCCATAGCCCTTCAACACTTTAGCTGGACAACAGACATAATTAATCCCAGTTTATGTTGGCCAAAACCTTTTGTCGAATACGTAAATTAGAAGACGTTTTAGGGGGGTTCCAGAGAGATCCCAATCACCCCAGTCAGTCATGTTTATATAAAGACCAGTAGATCAAATGAGCTGGTAAGTAGATGTTTTTATCGTTCTTGGTTAGAAGAGTTAAATTGAGCAGCCACTTGATAGCTTATTTACAAGAAGATAAGGTTTGAACCAACCAGAATGTTGGAGTAGTCACTCTCTCTGGCATGCGACATTTTCCCTTCCAATTTTTCATCCTGGCTGCTTGAAATTTTTCTCCAAGCACCTTTCAGTGCTGTCAATTTTATTTTTCACTTACATTGTCACCTTGCAATCAATCACAGTAGTTCAGGTTTCCTGGAGACTACCTGCCCGCTACTCCCTTCAATTTTGGCCTCAGAAATATAATTTTAAAAGCATCAATTTCAAAGATTGAACAAGAAGAAAACTGTGGGAAATTCCAATTGATACAACTGTAAATGATTTGTATAGTTTTGATTTTTTTATACAAAACGTAAGGCACTCCCTGCCCTGTTCTAGTACATAGTCTGACGAGAACAAACTAGAATTCAAGTTCAACAAGAAATATATGAAATGATGAGTCATCAAGGAATTAATTCCATTGCAATAAGTTCGGGACTTTTCTTGTTTGAAGCCTCTGTTTTTCAACATGTCAAATAAGCTTTTGACATGTGCCCAAGAATACAACCTATCATTTTGCACTCCCTGACCTTGTGCTTCAGCCGTTATTCATTTTGCTTAGGTAATAAGAGCTTTGTTAACCAACTTTGGCTTATTTTTCTTTTGGAATGAAAATTTCACCTGTTGAAGCTTTGTTTGATACTATCAGTTATATCAAGTTTGGATTATAATTTCTTGGTTGACCAGCTTCTGCTGCTCAACTATAGGAGGGACCTATCAAATACTAACAACCATAACTAGATTGGCCTACTAATCAATTTGTTTGAAAAGACTCAATTGAATTATTAAAGAACTCTGTAGCCTGTTGCAGCGATGGGTTTTTCACAAAGTTCTTTAATCACTGGATCACATAATTTTCAGGTCATGTGGAGTTTTCTTTCTGTCCTTCAAACCTGAATTCATCAAACGAAAAGTCTCGTTCCATGGAAAAATTAAGTACATAACATGTTGCTCTTGAGAATAATTATAATTTCTGTTAGAAACCACTCCATTGATCTCAAAGGTCAAAGTAACTATCGAGATTAAGCTGTTGAACAATTAAACATTCCATGCGAGATACAAAACTAGCTGGCTCCCAAAGCTGAGAGGACACCAATGAGAGCTGTCTTCTGTTGAGACAAGTTGTAGTTTCCATGGTCTAAGCCCAAAATCTTAGTTTTTAGTATTAAGCTAAAAAAAAAATTAAACAGGAGACTAAGACAAGACTCAACAATGTATACCAAACAAGTACAAATTCCACTGATTTTATGTTGAACTGGCAATAAAATTAGGACCAGTAGAAAAAAATGCAATACCCATTCCAAACAGAAGGGCTTAATTTGCAGAAGATAGGCCTGCAAAATTTTCTTAATGAACTAGAATTAATTAGATAAACCTATCTTTTTTCTCTCATTTCTTCCTTTGTTTATCCTCCTGTGGTTCTATTAAGTAAATAATAAAACAAATTTGCCCTACATATATATATATATATAATTAATATATAGATCTCTTATTCATCTTACCCAATAATAAATTTCTGCACTTCATGACCCTAGTTTTCTTTATTTTTTATACATATAAAAACCCAGAATTTTTTAATTCAGGAATGAATATAATAAATGTAAAACAGCCAAAAAAGGTGACGTTTTGAAATCAATTGAATGGTTCATTTCATCTCTTTGATCCTTTGAATCACTATAGTGTGGTTCTCATTATATTAGCTTTCCAATACTTCTTTATCCTAATCATTTTATATTTTACCATTTTGCTAAGTATCTCAAACTCCTTTCAACTTGCCTATCTAGTTGCCTTATGTGGCCCTCCAAGTATGTTAAAATAATTGTCTTGTAACCTAATTAAGTTGTGATTGCTTAATCAAAGATCTTGATGCATTAGACAGTGGCATAGAAATGTTTGAGAAAAATATTTGTTATTATAGGAATTACGATTTGATTTAATTTTTAAAAATGATCATATAAATTAAATGAATTAAACTCAAATTATAAATCTGACGTGGGATTGAATATACAAATTTGGATTAATATTTCACACTTTGGAAAATAAAAAGTAACAGAGGAAAGTGAATAAAGTTTACTACATTCATTATTAGATATCACTAGCTTAATTGACAGCATTATCATCGTATCGTGATTTATAGTCTAACCAGTTCACGGTAAAACCTCCTTATGGATACATGTAACGTCCAAAGTTTATATCACATCATTGGTAGCCCCCCCGCCTCCTATACTTTTTGTCGAAATTGATAAAAAATAAAATCATTTATTGTGATTAATATTTAATTGCATAAAGTCCAAAAAGGTAGTCTAATCTAAAGAATGTTGGCAAATGAAGGTGGACATAGGCATGAGCAAACAATACAAAAAAAAAAAATCTTTATTTCTGTCGGTAAAGCTCAAAATTCCGTCGCTATTAAGTAACAATAGATTTAGTAACAAAAAAATTTCATCTATGATAGTTAAGTTAGTAATATTATTTTGCCGATAATAAATAAAATCTGTCACTAAATTTCATTGATAATAGCTTTAATTCTGATAATCAAAGTACAAATGATTTACGTATGCAAAGCACTAAGTGAAAAAATTGATGAAGACTGATTTTATATGCATGTAAATACAAAATTTCTAAGCGGAATTAAAAATAAACACACACTTTCTTTCAGAAAATATAATATATATATATATATATATATATACACACACATACTAACTTACAAAACCATATGCTTTAGGCCTAAATATCATAATATTATTGCTTAATTTGTCAAAATCAGTTGGGACTGACTTACTAATTATAACTTGTTAATTGCTTTCATATAAAGAAATAACAATCATCTATAATGCTTATTTTATAAATTATATAACAATAAATTATTGATGTTTCTGTCATTTTCTCTTTGAATTATGCAGTCTGAATATATATAATATTCCCTTTTAACTTTTTTTGCTATATAAAAAAAGATTTTGCTGATTTATTATCAGAAATCGGAAGGAGATGATGAAAAAACAGTGCTACCGTAGACAAGAAGCCAAAACATGAAAGAAACATTGGGAAGCACCAGGCTGCCAAAACAACTGGATTTGTATTCTTTACAAAATTTAATTATAAACTGAGACTATAAGAGGATCCCACACCCATAGGGAATGTCTTTCCATTTCCTTTGTTCATTGTTCATGTCCACCAACCAAATTAATTTCACAAGATCATATATATCCTGTCTTTAACATTAAGCCCTTTTTTTAATATTAATTCCTCAGGAATCAGGAGCCAGGACAAAAAGGACAGTACCCCATAAGAAATGCAAAGGAAGGCTTGAATTCATTGAGTCTTCACCAAGTTGCACCCCCATTTTTTTTAGGGTTTCCTTGTTGTCAGGTTATCAATTTGGGGTACAAAAGAGAAAAAAAAAAAGAAAAGTGGGGTTTGATCAGACATCAATTCTGCAGCATCATGCAGAAAAGGGAGGGTGGTGCTAGACTGATCTGGTGATTCTCCAAGACAAGAAAACAAACAAAGAAGCCTGTAGTTTGTCGCAGAGTTTGGAAAATCTGTGGATTCTGATGGACTGAGTTGGACAGATATATGTTATCAGCTTGCAGCTTCGTCAGCACCAAACCAAGATTTTCAGATTTCCAATCCTTCATTCATTGCCACAATTACTAGATATCCCAATCTCTCGTCATCTTTATCGAATTCGTTACCCTTGCATCTTTAGACTTCAACATCTTTTTTCACTTTTTTGTAATGGAAATTTTAACCGTCTCAATTCAATGTAGGAGATAAGAGATGGAATTGATCAAAATCATGCTTGTATTGTAAATGTTGGACTTGATTAACGATAACAAATAAAAAAATATATTGATGTTTATCCATTTCCTTTCACCTGTGTTTTCGTTTGGAGTTTATCCCTTTAATTATTGTAGTCGGCAGTCGTTAACTGCTACTCTTATGTTTAATTTTAGCTTTGAAATGAAGAAATGACTAAAAAAGTAAAGCCTCTAGAACTCTACTCATCCATTTTTCCTTCAACCATTCACGAATCACCCTCTGTTTCTCTTGGCCAGCTCTTCCTAATTCTTCTTAGGCATTGAAAAAGTTTCTACGCTCGGATGTTTATTTTGGTACAGAAAATTTAAGAATAGATAGATTATGGATGTTGCTTGACGAATGATGCCATTCCCACAATAGATAGACCAAATGAATTGTTAAAACTTTGATCAAACAAAGTAATTAAAATTAATGATGATGGAACGTGACGTCAAAAAAATGCATGTAATTCCAAATAATTTTCTGCTATTCGGTGTCCCAAACCCAAGCTTTGGAGGTGTGGTGGGGTCAACGCCTAAACAATAAAGACAGACAAACCAAGTGTAACCATATGGCACATGGGACCCAAAAACTGCCAATAATTTTGAATCAAACCTGAACCAGAAACAACCGGTCAGCGTACGTTCCTTTCTTTCCTTTGTCTTTCTCAATTTTTCTACTCCATAGTTGGTTGATTAGCAAGAGAAGAACATCCTTTTTAATTTAATTTAGCTAAACAAAAACACACGATTTTGATTCAATAACTAAAAAAAGTTTTAAACTATTAATTGTAATATGAATTTTGGGAACAAAAATATTAATATGTCTAATGACAATAATTAATATTAAATAATTATTTTTAAATATACTAAAATTCATAACATTAATTTTTAAATATCTCATTTAATAATTTAATTAATTTTATAAGTGTATTTAATAGATCTGACGATTTATATATTTATATCATATAAAATATTAAAATTTATATATTATATAATATTTTATATAAAAATTAAGTATCACAATTTATATTAATATAAAAATATAAAATATATATTTTTAATTTAATTTAATTTATATATAATTATTATTAAAATTTTGAACTGTTTTATTTTTATATTATATTCATAATATATTTTAAATTATTATATTCAATTTTTAGAAGCATTCATTAACAAAATATAGTAATTTGCATGCAACTAATTAACAATGTAAGGTTGGTGGTTTGAGGTTGGCTAGCCGCCAAAAACGGGGTTCGATGCTGCACTTGACTGATGTCATTCACCACATTCCGCACCTTCCATTGTCCAATGAGCTAATGCCAAATGGCCTCAACGGTCAAGTCTACAGCAGCTCATCCGTCCATGTGCAGTTCTTTAGCAGTTTGTCAGGGAATTTTTCCTTTTTTTTTTCCTTCATATCATAGAGATAAATTATTGAAGTGATGAATTGGATGATTGGATTCTGCAATCAAAATTTGGCTCAGGTGCGCCTTGGATTAATTATATAATAATATCAGCTAACGACAAATATGAATGTTTACTTATCTTTTAAAGAAATTTTTTTAATTTTTAGATCTATTCTTAACTCTAATTCAAATATATTTTCACTCATATTTTTAATTTTTCAAAAAAATAAAAAACATAAAATAACTATTTTTGAAACCAAGCATTGTCAAATATTTTTGTTCATTTATTGTTTTATATAAGATATAATATTTAATTATGAGTATAATTTTAATTTTAATTTTATATTAATAATAATTCCATAAAAATGGAAAAGAAAAAGTGATAACCGAGCGAGGTCCACCAATCTCTCCGGTTATTTTAGAATATTATATTTTAATTTATTAATTAGAGTTTTATTTTTAACAGTTTAAAATATAAAAAAAATTATAAGGGTGAAAATGAAATTGCATGTGGAGAGGATATTTAAAGAAAAAAAAAATTGAAAGAATTGAACCACATGATTTCTGCAGAATTATTTTCGTGGAAAACAAAAGAAATAAGTTTTTTTTTTTCTTCCATACAATATTTATCACAATTATTTACCTTCGGTGGGACCTCTGTCGCACTTTAATTATCAAATTCACCCCACAAATTGCGAAAAACAGAAAGGGATTATCATTACCCATGGTCCATAGGGTCCACCCTACTTCTTACACGTGTCATCGTACCGGTCCATAGGCAACTACCAAAATATTCGTTTCGATTCTGAACTTTTCCTTTTTACAGTCGGCTGTATCAGTGATCGAACGGCGTCATAAGTTATCACACCCTCAATAATCACACTTTTCCTTCACTGTGTGGACCCCACGGAATTGTTAAGAACCTCCGGAACAAACGAGGAGGGCACACTCGTAATACCGCAAGCGAATATTGGAGCTTGGCTGTCACGATCTACTGTTTCAGAATCGACAATTCTTTAAGATCATGCCATGTGGATTTCAGTCTTTGTGTTCGTCCATAACCGTCGGATGAAACTAAGGGACAAAATGGGAATTCAGTGCTTGGAAAATCATGTATAAATTGGAACGCTTATGCATTTAACCAAGAAAAAGGGCAAGGCGTAGCCGCATAGCTTCTGCTTCCTGACAATAGAGATAGAGCAAAGCTTTCTTATTTGCTTTAAAAAAAAAAGAAGCTTTTTTCCAAAAAATCCCTGTGGGGAATGCAGAGAGATGAGAAGGGCGTCGTTGACAAGGCCTGAGCTTTGTGGGCACGGTAAGCGATCCATCGGCGGTAGGAATTGCCACCGAAAACACGTCGAAGACGGCTGATTCCTTGCACTGTAACAAAAAAGGGAAAAAAAAACGCTTTATTATCTGAATCTCTGCTTTTAATCTTCTGTTTCTTTATGCTATCTTTGTGTTGTAATTAAAAATTTTAGATCAGAAAAGATCGAAGCTTTCTCCATCTGGTTAAAAAATGGCGGAGAAAACTAAGAGTGACCACCCTTCTTTGCTTCATGGAAAATACGAGCTTGGTCGAATGTTGGGTCATGGAACCTTCGCCAAAGTCTACCATGCACGGAATCTTCATACAGGGAAGAGTGTTGCCATGAAAGTTGTTGGGAAAGAGAAGGTGATTAAAGTTGGGATGATGGAGCAGATCAAGCGAGAGATTTCCATTATGAAGATGGTGAACCACCCCAATATAGTTGAGTTGCATGAAGTCATGGCAAGTAAATCCAAGATTTACTTTGCCATGGAACTTGTCCGTGGTGGAGAACTCTTCTCTAAAATTGCCAAGGGTCGACTCAAGGAAGACTTGGCAAGAGTTTATTTCCAACAGTTGGTTTCTGCTATCGATTTCTGTCATAGCCGTGGGGTTTACCACCGTGATTTGAAGCCCGAGAATTTGCTCTTAGATGAAGATGGGAACTTGAAGGTTACAGATTTTGGACTCAGTGCGTTCTCGGAACACTTGAAACAAGATGGGTTACTGCACACAACTTGTGGAACACCGGCTTATGTGGCGCCCGAAGTTATTGGGAAGAAAGGGTATGACGGGGCTAAAGCCGATATTTGGTCTTGTGGGGTAATTCTTTATGTGCTTCTTGCCGGGTTCTTACCGTTTCAAGATGATAACTTGGTGGCCATGTATAGGAAGATTTACAGAGGCGATTTCAAGTGCCCACCTTGGTTTTCCACTGAAACTCGTAGATTAATCACTAAACTTTTAGATCCCAACCCAAGTACCAGAATCACCATCTCAAAGATCATGGACTCGTCTTGGTTCAAGAAATCTATGCCCAAGACCATTAGAACCAAGGAAGAGTTAGAATTTGAAGCGTTCAATGGTGACAAATCATCCAAGCCTGAGACTTTGAACGCCTTCCATATCATTTCTTTGTCTGAGGGCTTTGATTTGTCGCCTTTGTTTGAAGAGAAGAAGAGAGAAGAGAAAGAAGAGCTGAGATTCGCTACAACAAGGCCAGCAAGCAGTGTAATATCGAGACTGGAGGAGGTGGCCAAGTCGGTGAAGTTCAGCGTCAAGAAGAGCGAGTCAAGAGTGAGGTTGCAGGGCCTGGAATGTGGAAGGAAAGGGAAATTAGCGATTGCTGCTGATATATTTGCAGTGACGCCGTCGCTTTTGGTGGTGGAAGTTAAAAAAGACCATGGTGATACCCTTGAGTACAACCAGTTTTGCAGTAAAGATCTCCGACCGGCGCTGAAGGACATCCTCTGGACGTCGCCCGCCGAGAACTCGACGCTTGCTTGATCTTAAAAAGGAAAAATAACTAGAAGGTGGGAAGTTTCAATATTTATCTGTTCTAGACCATTGTTTGATGATGATGTTATTGCGTTCTTGTTCCTGTTGTGATTGTTTTGATGGAAATTGGAAAGAGAGTATGTTATGTTCTTGATTATTTTCAATCATGTCTTTGTGGGTTTCGTCTTTGTGATATGGTCACAATGAATCGTGTGAATCATCCGACAAACTTTATCTTTGTAGATCCATTTATGCGGATGTTTTCATGTTTCTGTTGATATGTGCAAGTGGACTGCCTCAGTTGCAATCTTTCTCTGCAACGTGTCTTTCCCCTTTTTTCAATTATAGTGATATTTATTACCGTCCATTTAAGCACTAATTCTTGGTTTTTCAAAGCATTGCTGCCTGATTTTCCAAGTTGCAACCTCAATGGTCCATTGCCTTATCCAAATTTGCAACTTCTAATGCTAATCAAACCATTGCTCACACGCACTGGCGTCCGCTCACAAAGCACTTCATTGGCTCTTGAAAGCTAGAAATTAGTAGAAAAAACTATAAAATCTTTCCATCATATTTCATTCCAAAGAAACCTAGACGCCGTTTTCCAATTTTAGGGTCTTCAAATCTGACGTCGTTTGATTTCCCTTTCAATTATTGTCCTACCATTCCACCAGTGACTATAAATCTATTTTTGCCGTGTATTGGTTTCACCGCATGTCTTTCAGATCTCAATCCTTTGGTTCATTGTCTACTTTTTAAGGATCTACATTATACAGCGGGTGTCATTTGGGTCCCTTGAAAGCTTCTGCTATGACATATTAGTCATCGTATAGAAAAAGAACAAGCTTCTTTTTTAGGTGTTGATAGGCCCTTTCTGTGTTTTCAATCATGCCGATTAAGGGTCTTTTTAGCTGTTTCAAGACGCCTAAGCTAAAGAATATTTTGCATCAGTCAAGGGAGAGCCTAACGCACTAGTCATTGTAATTCTTTTGCTTTTAGGGGGCGTTGAAACTTGGAAGTTGGAAGTTCAATTTAATGTCGAACATGCAATTGTTTGCCATGTTCTAGATGTCGTGAATTGCCATGAAACTGTTAAAGGAAGTCTTGGATTAATTTGAGTCTGTCATACAATCAAGCATGAGCCGCCATTTGATTTCTAACCGCTCGCAAACAAAACCCGTGTCAGGCCGCCCTCTTTCTGTGGTCCTTAACTGTTAGGTTGGCTGCCCGGGACCTGGAGCAATATATATGAAGTAAATGTAAATGGTGTGGGGCAGCTTACAGAAATGGTCCAGCTTCCTGTTGCTTGAATCAGATTCTGGGTTCTATCAGTGGAGCTCGTGACTCTCTTATCTTCTTTTGTGGAGGTCGTCAGGACGGATTGGTTCAATCGGTCAAGTTATGACTCTGGGTATATAAGTTCTTCCCCAATGCGAGCAGGTAAACAGCAAATATGTGCTTTGACACCGGTATCTCTCTCTACCCATGATTTTATTTTTAAAAAATAGAAAAAAAGAATCTGCATTTTGCACTGTATTTTTTAATGTACAAACTAAAATGTTTAATAGAAATGGTCTAGTATTCAGGGGACGTGTCTTATTGGGCGCTTCTGAATAAGAACCAATGAAAGGTTTGTTCCAGCTTATATGTTGCAAGCGGAAGTAAAAATCTGACAGCAACTTGGGATGGATAGACAATAACTGCTGTCAGGTTGGAATAATAAGACATTATACGGCCAAGTTTTCATTCATTTGAAGGAAAGCATCTATCACATTGTGGTGATTAGAACTGCTCCCGATCCACTTGATCAGGCACATGGCTGCGGCGTTCCTTTTGATGTTTTTCTTCTCCATTTCATCTCAACTTCCACTCCCTTGTGCAATTTTAGGTAAGAAAGAAAAGAGATTCGATTCCTTCCCATGGTACCAAAGACTTCGTATCTAAGTAGATCTATATCTCAAATTCAAGTACTAGAAGAAAGGTAAAGGTATACTTGATAAGATAAAATTTATCTTTTATTTTTTTATAAGAAAAAATATAGTATTTTAAAAAAAATTATATTTAATACATTATCATATATAAATTTTATTCAAATGATGACAACTTATTAATAAGGTAAATCAGATGATAACACCTTATTAATGAGTAAATTTTTTTTAATTTAATTTGTGTATATTTATTTTAAAGGTTTATATTTGTTTATTAATGAAGTGTGATTATATGATTTATATACTAACAATGTATTATATATAAATTTTTTGAAAATGAAAAAAAGATTACAAGTATCAGAGTTTGAATCCAAATTTAATTAACAGCAAAAACTAATATAAGATTTTACAATATAAACAAGAAACATTACCTCATACTACCAGGTTTAATTAACCGAATAGAACTTAATCTAAGTTAATTAATAACTTAATTAATCACAAGATAATATATATTTTTTGAGCCAATAATCACATGATAATATGTATGGTAATGCATGCATATATTCTTGAAAATTTATAGTTCAGATTCTTTATCTTGTCTTGCATGTATAGGGTAAGCTACTTGATTTTTTTTTTTTTTTGAAGTTGGCAAGGTACCTAATTAGATTCAAAGAAGTGAATGATTAATTCTTTGGTAACTTTATCTCTAATTCTTAATTAATGGCTAAACAGCTGGAGTGGGCCATGCCTAATGGAAGGTCCAAATTCACAAATCAAAGGATTTTATTTTCAACAATATAATAAACTACTAAAAACAAAAACCATAATCTCTTTGATAATCTGATTTAACTACCAAGAAATTGAGCCACATTTGAAATTTTAATTATGGGTTAATATTTTAATTTTTAAAATTGCACCTGGTAAAGGAAAATCTTACCTAAGTGGTCCAAATGTTACAATCATAGTTAAGAAGACAAATGATAACCCAATGTACTATTGATAAGTTAAAAAAATTGATGATAAAAATAATTAAACTGTGGGGGCCAGTTTTTAATTTCTGGTTAGTGGGGTTGGTTGATTTAGCTTTTGTACCCTAAATAATTGAAATGCTATTTTGTTTTGTCTGACTAAAATGGAGGATGATGGTAAAAATTGGGCCTATAGGACCCATCTTTGATAGTATAATCAGCCTATGATCCTTAACTCTTTTTGGTGGGTCCCCATCAACTAGATGCTTTGGGCCTCAAAATTGGACCATTCTAAAAAAAATGCCAACACATTAATTCAAGCAAAACACTACAAGAGACAAGAAACATGTTAGGAGGGAAAGGTGTTCCTCAGCCTGTTCTTCTGCCTATCCAAACCCCAGCCACATGTAATTTGATAATAGCTAATAGGGGAAACAAAGGAATGTTGGTACTGAAAGAATCAAAATCAAAATACAGGGAATTGAAGTTCATCAAATATATAGCAAGGATTCATATTTGACATTTAATCAAATACTATAAAATAAAAATTTTCAAACCCACCAATGTATATTATATTTCAAGTCTATAATCAAAAATAAAATTAGACTTAAAATTTAATTGATTTATGCAATCACACTTAAGAGGAAACATTCAATAAATCTAAAGTTTAAATTCTAACACCTGCAACTCAGGCTGTGACACATGAATCATGGTATAAAAATCTTCCCCTCTGTATCTCCCCAAGTACCTTCAATTTCTTCTTCCTCACAAACAGCTTTCTAACCTGTCAAGAACACATCATTCCAACTGCTATTCCAATAGCCTTGATAAACTTATTGCGAAAGTCAACAAGTTGGTTCTTGTTTCATTCACATAATAGGTTTCAAGTAGCATCTTGAAGCACAACTTTTGCAACATTGGTTTGGTCCAACTCCCCCTGAAAGATCATAGTTTGTACCTGTCGTTATGAAATGAGCCTCCAGAAAGTTTGCTTTTCACTAGTCATATCGATCCATGAAAATTCAACAGTACCTTCAAATTTCGAGGATGAATTACTGATCAGATGCATCCAGGCAAATTGCGAGTTACTCGAATTCATATTGAACATTTCCTTCTCCATTACAATTCTGAAACCACTGTCAAACCAAATGGGAACACAATCTGCAGAAAACTTTAAAAATCATCCTAAAAACAATTGCAGGTACATCGTTCATTGTTTGTTATTGTGGTACAACACTCAACAAATTAACCAAATAGATTGGTAAATAGATTCAGAATGCAAAGCTGTAAATAAACATGAAAATTCAGAAAAAGGCATATCTAATGTCCACTAAATAGAATGACGAATAACTGGAGATTAGAAGCAATAATTTAAGCCTGAAAACCACTAAGTTATATCCTTGTTTCCAACTTCTAGAGAATAAAGCCAATGTACTATATAATTTACAGAAAAAACAAAAAGAAAATTGGCTACCAGAAATAGTTTCATGCATTGCTATAAAAGGAAAAATATGTCCATATAAACCAAGGTAGATTGCATTCTATGGGGCAGGACAAGGTAATACCTAGGCATTGAACTCCTATAAACTTCATGAACAAGAAAATTTTCAAAAATCATTCCATTACAAATGCCCTTAGCAAAACCCTAACTAAAATTAGGACATTTGACATCATGTTAAACCCATCTGTATATTGCATATGATTCCAAACTTTCATGTGTTAAAAGTACAAAAGCTTTTTGGCATCTTCTGTTTCCGTCTTTGGAATCAAAGAGAATGACCAAACTTAACAGTAAATAAGGAAAAACTAAACCTTGATGAAATCGCATCAGAACCTGTATTTTGCATTTGAGTCTTTCCAGAAGCCAAATAAAAGGAAACCAGATTAAAACTTGACTTCATGGTAGCATGTGGATACATCAGAACAAGCTAAAAATGCCATGCCAGTCTAGTTTTTGTCACAACGTAATTAAGATGTATTGAACGTGATGATAACAGTCTTATGCCTTTAATATATGGAAGCTAAGCTAAGCTGGGTTTCAGATATTTTGATTATAAGATGCGGTCAATATGTTTTTTATTCATGAAAAGAAACAGCAAGAGTTCAGTTTTCAAGAATCATAATGAGATCAGCAAGTACTTTTACTTATTTGCATAAGTAACAGTCCTTAGCATCAAGCCTGTATATAAATCAAGTAGTTTTTTCCTTTATTAAACCAGTAAAGTAATAGCATTACAGTCAATGTCTTCTTTTGAAGCTTGAAAGCACCATATTTCCCAAAAAAATATATAAAAAAGAAACCCTTGTAAGATCATTGCTTGATAGCTTTGATCAGCATATCAATTCTACTTAACAACAGAATAAGTGAGACTTGGAAATAATAACTAGACCCTAGAAAGGTTACTTGATACCTCCAAAATGCAACATGCCTTTTTCTATATATCTATTTCTACTTTTGAAATGTAAATTACAGTTTAAGCTATGTATCTATTGATCAATTCATTTCACTTTAATTTATCAAATACTCAAATAATTTGCATTGATTTTAGTAGTAAGGACATAATCAAGCATGTTATCCGACAGAATTTATTAATAGTTCATGGTAAATGAAGGAGACTAACAATAATAAGCTCTATATCTCATGGAAATAGCAAGTCATTTGATAATGCTATAACTTTGAGAAAGAAAATTCATGGAATTTTTTACTATGCTGATCAAATGCATGTCCACAACTTGGAAAAACCTGTTTACTATACTAATTAATCAATGGAAACAGTTTAGTTTTAGAAAATCAAATTCTCTGGGAGAGTAGATCGATCATCTGTCTTAGTTTGGAACCGGATATGGCATTCATCAGATCATATAAATTTTAGCTCTCATTTATAATAATTTGGGTTTCACCAAAATTTTCATTTAATCTTGTAAATACTAGACTTCTTCTCAAAACATATATGAGTTTCTACCATAAACCATTCTTAACCTTTTCTCAAACATATAGCATTTCAAATCTCACTTTTTTACTTCTAGACTTCTACAACAGATTTTCTAGTGAAGCCATTCAAGATTTTTATCTAATAAACTTAGTAAATCAGAAAGACACTTGCCATGGTAGTCTTAATCTCTATCCATACATTATTAGCTATGTTTTCATGATTTTAAATCTAGGGTAACAAGTTCGCGAGACTGCAGAAATATGACAATTAGTAATGGTTTGAATCTAACATATAGATTATTAACTAAGATCTAAAGAAAATGTATAAGCAAAAACAATTAAGCATTCACTTCATTAACTGTAAAGATGGTGTTAAAAAGCAACTAAGTCTCCTATCTAAAATCTATATTGTACTTGAACTTGCAAGATAAATAAACTCATATACATAGTTCAAATTCCACCCACAACAATGCCATTGCACTTTTCTAAATAACAGGCAACACTATATGCTGAGACAATGCCAGCATTGTCACCCTATTTCTCCAAAGCTAATCACTGCCATCTACAACCAAAGCTATTGATACCATGTCCTATCACCATCACAAGAACCACCTCTTCAACAACATCCCTATTATTGACCACTACATATATCAAACAAGAGTTTGCACTTCATGCAAATATGCTTTGCTGCTACTTTCATTCCTAACAGAACTGTCACAATCACAGGTATGATATTATTTCAACAACCATTAACAGCACAAGTTACCAAAGCTAAAGAGGGATGATCTATCATTGTTAGTTATAATATTTGCTCCATAAACTGAAAATTAGCTTCTTTAAGTGCATTATAATCTTATTAACAATTAATGGAAAATCAAGGACCTTACAAGAAGCAATTTTTCCCCAACAATTATTTTTGAATAAAAACCATCAGAATATGGATTTAATTGCTTGGTTATCTTGCAAGAAAAACCAAAAATCTCATGGTTTTAAAGACAATCAAATAACCGCCATTTATATAACAACCATGTAATAAGACTGACTTGAGGGTTCTGTATATATACTTCCAAATTATAAGAATAAAAACAAATTATAAAGTTAGCATAGGATCACTACCATACATATTAATTTAGCATAAAGTATATATATAAATATAAATTCAGTATCATACTTAGCAATTGAATTTTCATCTCATTCTAGCATTCTCACATTAAGAGTAATATATATACTTGCATCAAAATTAACCTTGGATTACTTTCAGTCATTTCTGATTATGAAAATAAAATCTCAGCTTTTCACTAGACAATTTTATCAACTTCTTAATGTATAACCTAATCCCCCTATATTATAACATTAAATCTTTAAAATATTCATGAATCAAGTGATAATTTGAAGATCTGAACCAATATATAGGGGTATATGGTCATTTATATATCAAATACCAGTCAAAGTTGGTCATCAATATCAATATGGTCCCTTTACTTAGTTCTCTAGAATTGGTTGGTTTTATATCTAAATTATGATTATTTCTACATAAAACATTGCAACAATGTATGCAAAAAATGTAGACATGCTTCATCAAAAAAAAAAAAAAATTAAAGGCCATTCAAACTCAATATGAGCCTAGAGTCCTATATCTCCACAACTGCTGACTCAATTTCTACTAGCAGGCCGGCCAGATCAATGACTATATCGTGATGTATTAACATATAATGTCCACCAGTTAATTAGCCCACAGAAACAAATTCATATTAAGTCATGATTGCCCTATTAATTTATATAAAAAAATCAATTGTCCATAACAAACAAATTGTTGATTATCACTTAACAAATGTTCTATCAAAACTTATTGTGAACTCAATATTAGGTTATTAGTATATGCATACTCAAACAGCAACAAATAACTCCATTTAGTGTATCGCTAGTTGTCACTGAATTGACTGATAATTAGCATCAAGAATCAGCAAGAAATAGAAGATATTTTATGAAAATTCTGCAATTGCTGCTATATATTATTCCCACTAAATTACATGCTAAATTATCAATTTGTTATTGTTCATTCTTTGATCATTTATCCTCTTTAATAGCAAGTCATGTCGCTGCAATTTAATCAGTATATTCAAGAATAGGCTCAAAATCTCAATTTCAACATAAAGAAATGCGTTCTCGTCTAGATTAGACACATAAAATTTGAACAAAAGAGGTTCCGCAAATTAAAACAGCATTAACCAAAACAAGCCTGAAGGAAATTGAAAAACATTACCTGAATGATTAACCTGAGCAAAACAGAAATAGTTTGTTGCCTTGCAATGCCCACAGGTAAGTGCTGTGTAAAAAAAAATTGAGGATATATTTACTACCAAAATACTTCAAAGACCAGCTCGAATGAAGAAGAAAGCTCAAATTACAGCAAAATCCACTGACTGAATCGATTACTAACCTGCATTACGAAATTTACCGCTAGCAAGCCTTCAATAATGAAAAGGAAATAGTGCATATTTTTGCTGAAAATAGGAAAAAGATAGCTACTTATATATACCACAAGGAGCAGTGACTCATAATTTTTTTCAGTGACTGCGAAGAAAACAGCCAATGTGCCAGATCGAAAACCCTGAAAGCCCAAATATAGTTAAAAGCTTCAGTGGTTAAATAACGAAAAAACAAAAGAAAAAAACAATTTATCATCTTTTATTGTTTTGTTGGACTCTCATTTGGGGTCAAAACTCAGGAACACCAGGAGAAAACAAAAAAAACCCAAAATCAGAGCCAGATTGAGGGCAAAACCAGAAGTAAGAACACAAGCCAAAGACAGCTTTTACCTTGCATGGTCTCCAAGAAAACAGGAAGATGATGAGTGAAGGGAAAGGAAGAGGGGAAGAGGGCTTTAAACAAAGGGAAACAAAACAAAAATAGCTGATAACCTGAATAAATTCCAAGATACCTTTCCAGTAAAATGAGAAAAGTGACCAGACGTACCTTCAAAGAAGCCAATTCGTCCTCTTCAAAGGGAGGACTATCAAAAGTCACGCTTTTCTTTCAATGCTCCATCACAAAATTCTTGTCATTTTAATACTATAAAATATATATAATTCCCAAAAAAGAGCAGCAAAAATTTATCAATAAATAATGCAAAATGGAATACAAAAAGACAGACTAATAATAACAACCCCCAATAAGTAAAGAGCTTATATTCACGCTTACTCCCTCTTTCTGGGCTGCTTATGATCTCTTTAACAACAAGACAGTCTTCCTCTTAGTCAACTCTCCTACAAAAATGGGAATTTCAATCTCTGTCTGAAGCAAAAGAAAGGGTTTCAGAGGGTTCGGAGATGAGAAAGAAAAGGTCTTTGATGAAGTGTAGTTAAGAAAAAAAAAAAGGGCTGCTTCTTTTATGTCTCACTCTTGTCTCTGTCTCTTTTTTCACGTGTACTTGTTGTTTGAGCAGTGACTCTTTTTTCTTTCTGCTAGCTTATGCTTATCCGAAGAGCAAGAGAGTTCCAGAAAGCTCGAAATGTGGACTGGATGTAAACAAAAACATCTGGAAAAATATAACTTGAGGTGTCATCTGGATATTGAGAGATAGATAGAGATGAAGGAGGAGGGAATGGGGGATGTTCATATGATAAATAACACAAATACAGTATTGTGATTTGTGAGGGAGCACAGAACAAAGCTGAATTAGCTGACAGAAGCGAAGTGAGCACACACAAGCCAAGGTATGCCTTTCATACAATTTGCCAGCGTGTGCTCACTCTCTTCTGTCAGTCTCTCTTTGTGTCCCTCTTCTGAATTGTTATCCACTTCTTTACCTTTTATTAGCTAAATTGCCAGGAAATGAAAAACAAAAGGTGAAATCCTAGCAACCCTTTAAATGACAAAAAAATAAACTGCCCCAAAACGAAACTGCTGCTTTGTAACAGAGATTAATTAGATCACTCCTTTGAGACAGATCTGAAATCATTTTTTTTTATTCTTTTCAGAACCCTTTTCTGGATACCCATTTTAGATATGACTCATATGAGTATGAGTAGGACAAAGAGCTAGGGTTTTCTTTGTAATCACTCCCCCCCCCCCCCCAAAAGACCCAAAGCCTTACATCATTTTCCATCCAAACCCAAACCCACCATACAACCCTTCCTTTCTTAACAATCCCTTCATTTCTCTCTTTATTTCTTTTCTTTTAGCTTTCCCCAGCAGCTGCTGCTACACCCTATATATGCCACTCCCTTGAGTTGATCTTTCCCCACCAAAATTTTTTTTTTCCAAAACCAGCAGTTTCAGGACCAAATTTGGACAAAAAATTGCTACTATTGAGATGCCGACAAGAAGAGAGGAATCAAACAAAAACATGTATAAGAAAATATTAGTGTCAAAAAATAATTTCTATGTGTTTTGGTTTGTTTTGGCATGGCTTTGTCTGGGCCTGCTCTGGTGAGAAGTAAGAATGGATAAAAGAAAAAAAAAATGGAGAGAACAGTATAGTGTAGATTACGTTTCGATGATTGGTTAGTTGGAAAGCAAAGGAGAACAGGTGGAATGGAAAAAGATAGGAATAAGGTTACGCCTCCAATTTGGGCCGTCGATTAATCATCTTTAGGGGATGTGGGTCCCCTTTTTTAATTGTAATAATAACATCTCATCTTTAACTTTTATTTTAATTAATTTTTTATTAATTAAATGATAATTATACGAATAATTAAATTAAATTTAAATTTAAATTTAATTAATTTAATAATTAATAATATTAATTAACATTAATACTAAAATGAGCAAAGATCAAATAAGTTGTTACTATATTAACACTTAAAAATAAAAACAAAAAAGAGACAAATAAAAACAATAAGGAATGAGTAAATGATGAAAATTTGAAAACTTTATTTAAAGACAAAATATAGTTAATTTCACAATTTTATAAAATTCATTATTTAGGGTAATGATTTTTATGAGACTATTTTGATTCATTTGCAAACTTATAATTTTTAATACCAAAACATCATTTTATTCCAATTGATAATAATAGAATAGAAATTAATGAAATCTAGCTATCAATGATTATGAAGGAAAAATAAATCAAGCCACCTAGATATATATATATATATATATATATATATATATAAGAGAAAGGATTGCAAATGTTAGTTAGAATCTAAGATTATTGAATGTTATCTCTTAAAAGTGATTACATAAAATAATTAAATTAATTTTAAATTTAATTAAATTTTTAATTACTTAAAATTACACTCATAATCAAGTATCATAATTTGTATAATCAACTAAATAATTAACTAATAAATTATAATTTAACTAAATAATCAAATTCACAAAAAATGCAACTTGAACTTAAAATTTCAAAATTCTAAATTCTCTTTCTTGCCACTAAACCAAAATCTCATTGATTAAATAAGCCATATTTCAAGTACATTATACGAAAAAAAGATTTATTCAGCATGTATTGGATCATAAAAGAGAAAAAAAAGGGTTAAAAAAAATTAATAAAAGATTGATTCAATTGGTAAAAATTGTTCACCTTTACATAAAAATTTTAGATTTGAATTAAGTTGATGATTTATTATTAAAATTATTTTAAATGTATAATTTTTAATCATTATTTTTAAGTTATCGGATATTATATATTTTATTTGAATTAAAAAGTTAAATAATTTATTTATCTTTTAATTTTATATAAAAATAAAAAGGTCAAAGAAGGGGGTATGAATTTTTAGGGCTTTGACTTGCCATTTGCATGGATTAATTTGTATAATCTCATCATTTGCTAAATGATTTGGGATGCAAAAGGAAGGAAATACGTAAACAGTGACTGATTAGTTACCTTACTTGTACCCCAAAAGTAAAAAACAAAAAACCACTCTTCCCGATAAAAGTTTGATGTACAATTTGTCAATCCAGGTGCTTAAAACCGGGGGAACCAATGCACCCCAATGCATCAAGTTTTAATTTTCCTCTTTTGGTTTTTTTTTTTTTTTTCCTTTATAAAAATCATGGACTGACTGGTCATTAGTAACGTACACTTGGTACATCAATTCTATTGATTGCTATGTACCAAATCTTTCCAAAATTAACTAACAACTAAGATAGGTTCAAGCCCACCCATTCCACTTTAATTAACCTCAACTCACATCTAGGCCCTAGCTTCCTCTCGGTTTTTGAGCCCTAAAATATTATCACATTTTATCATTTTTCGCAAATGGCCGTGGCGGAGACATTGGATGCATTTGAACAATTTTTTGAACAGTAAATTTTATTGGGTTTCGAGGTTTGACTATTAGCTTTACTCTAAAAGATTTTTGAAAGGATAGAATTTTTTTTTATAAGGGATCAAATTGAATTAAACTAGTTGATATATAAAAATTTTAAATTTAAATTTAAATTTAATTTAAAATTTATTATTTAAAATTTAATTTAAATTTGATATATTTTTAATTTTTAAATTTAAATTTAATTTATAATAAAAATTAAATTATTTAAATTCGTTTAATTATATTTATTTAATAAAAATAAATTTGATTCTCATATTTATTTTAAATTTAATTATATGTTTGAATTTAAATTTGAACTCGAATTGATATATATAGTTAAAATAATATTTTTTAATTAAAATAATAAAAATATATTAAAATTTAAAATTTTGATTAAATTTATAAATTATTCGATTTAAATATAAAAATATTCAAATTTAATTTGATTGATAAATTAAATTATTTAAATTCAAATTTAATTAGATAATTATCAAATTAAATTTAAATTTTATTTAAATTAAATCTAAATAATTTATAAATATTAATCTATTATTTATATCCCTACTTCTCCCTAACTTGTTTCTTTGATTTGCTGTTGTTAAAGTTTTTACGTTCTCCAAGCCTCGTCTACCACAGTGGCTCGACAGTGCTCACCGGCCACTTCTAAAGCTCTTCTAACAACCACAAATACTCACAAAAGGCTTCTTGTACGTTCAAATATAGGACGACCTTTATTTTTTTTTTTTTCTGCAGCCAAACTTCGTTACTATATGAAAAAAAAAAATTAGCTACCACAAACTCAAAGCTATTTTCATATCAGTACTATGTCTGATATTTCCGAGAAGAAATGTACCTGCAGTCTATGCAAGTGGGGGCGGCTTTGGCCTTTATGTTAGCAACTTGCAGCTTAATGGTGGACGTCTGCTAAGGTAAGTGACAATGAAGTGCTTGTGCCTGGTGTCTGCTGTAAAATGAACGCAATATTTACTGCTACTACCATACTATTTTTTCAGTATCTCTTAGAGGGTACATTACTATTTATTATTTCTGTTGTTCCTATGTACATGGTTAACAAGATCAATTCTCATAATTATTAAATTAATATACATTTGATTATTATATCACCACAAGAGAAGGTCAATATCTAGATTTTTTATTACAAAACTGGCTTGTCCCCGCCAAAAAAGAACTCATCTAATTATTTTTGTTAATGTTAGATCAATTGATTTTTAATTTATTTAAGATCATTAAATGTAATTTACGTTGATATTATTAAATACATTTCACACTTACTCATATGATATTTTTTTAAGCTTTATATAAACTTATCATCAAACTATCAACTGTTTTAATTATGTTATTATCTTTCTTTTCATATATAAGTTAAAAAAATATATAAATACAATATAAAACTAAAAATTTTGACTTTCTCACGAAAAAAAAATTATAAACACTTGATTAATTTGAGCGTTAAAACACATATCGAAAAATTAGCTCCAACACCTCTTAACTCACTTTTTTATCGTAGATTTAAGTCATCCCTCATATGATCTCGAAATAATTGTTCACCTCATTAATACCCAAAACACCATCAACAATTTCCATGATTTATCTTAGCCTTAAGGTAAGAATACGAGAAAAGTTTCAAAAGGTATAGCAGTGGTTTCATATATTTTTTTAAAGCCTTTTTCAAGCATGAAACATTAAAGAGCAACCTGCTAAACCCTCTCTCTTTTCTTACAGTTTATTGATGATCCATATTCAGAGGGCTGATGTTCTGTATTTCTTCTTTCAAAACATGTTTTTTTCACTTAAAATGAGACCAATATATATGACAACTACAATCACGCATGTTTATCAAATCAAATGAGCCTAATTAGTTCGAAATGTGATATATCAACTACTATATATCAGGCTCTTGTAGCCAGAAGTTAGTGGTTCCAAATTTCTTTTTGTTTTTAGCACACTTAATAAGATCCCAGTTAAACAAAATTAAGATAGGTTAGATATTGTCATTATTTCTACTGACACACTGATGCCATGCATCCCAACCAAGGCAAACTTATTTATTTCCTTCTCCAACTTCATCTGATCTAGGTAGCCATCTCCTTAACAGTACCCAAAGTGAAAGTCTGAGACCAATACCATAGATTTGTTGAAATCAGTACCCAAGAAAAAAAAAACTGATGAAAGAAGAAATCATAAGTCAAATCAAATTATAAGGATGGGAAATGTAAGAAATGCAAGTGTGGCCAGACATGTCGAGGAGACAAGGAGAGGGTCAAGTTCAAAGTACAAAGTAGTGCGTTTTTTTTTTTCAATTTTGTTTTCATCCCCTCAACAATGTCTTTCAAAAAGAAAGGAACCTAAGTTCTTGTACCTGGAGACATGTAAATGCACGGTGAACACACAAGTCAGCGGTCAGTATCAACTATAAGAAAAAAAGCATGGATCCATTATTGGTCCCTACATAGCATACAAAGTCCTATTTCCAGCCAACCATAGGTTGCCTATGACTAGGGTTTGTCTTCGATTCCTCATTTCCTTTTCGTTCCTAAATTATTCCTTTCTGAAAACCACATATACGCTTGTTATTTGTGATAATTAGGAAAAATACTTATTCAATTACCCAATGAAAGAATGTGCCCAAAAAAAATTGGAAAAGGGCCACTCAATGATGGGCCCATCAAAAATCATCCTTCAAGCCCACTCACCCAAATTGGTTCCAGATGAGCCCATTGAACATATTTCAATTTAGCCCAAACCAACCCAAATGGACATCTTTGGTCCAGAACAAGAAACGAGAAACATAAACGAAAAGAAAATATAAAACTTGGCGAGTGAAGGGGAAGCTTTTCTTGCTTTCTTGGGTAAAACCGGTAACCATGATGCTAGAAGCTTATGCAGCAGGAAAACGAGATGAAATCCACACTGACGTGCTTTTGAAAGCCAGGCAAGCTTGCTACAAGGTCCTTCTCTTCGTACCCATCTCTTTAATCTCTGTAATTTATTGTAAACTCCTTAGAATCTAATTTAAATGTTGCTGTTATTCATTTGGGTTTGGGTAAAAAAGGCTCGTGATGCATTCTATTCTTGCTTGGAAATGCAATCGGACAAGAAACCCACTGAAATCGGATCTGTGGGGCTCCTATACCCCACTGAATGCAAACGCTCCAGGGATGAGTATGTCATGAATTGCCGCGCTTCTTGGGTAACTAATCACTATCTTATCTTAATTATTTAACCAGAAATTTTGTTTCTTTTTGGTCCCTGTTTTTTTATTTTAGTTGGTGTTTTGTGTAGGTGAAGCATTTTGATAGGCAGTATTGTAAGACCAAGAGGACGCAGAGGTTGCTTGATGATAGGGAAACGAGGAGAGGTCCGTTGACACTTCCACAACCTTACACTTTCAAGCCCCCAACCTCTACTTGATTGCTTATTGAAGCTTTTAGACTGTTCAGGGGCTTCTTTAGTTTGTTGAATACCTTTTTTTGTTGTTGTTGAAATTGCACTTATACAGTGTTTAGGATATACAATCGCATAAATTCCTACTCATTTTGATGGGAAACTGGATATCTGGTAAAGAAGTGATATTGGTTTTCGAAATTTGGCTTATAATTGCCTTATGGTTCTATAATGTTATTTTTTGTGTGATTTCATGGTGCTTTATGTTTATATTGATTGAATGCTTCCTGGGGATGCTTATTGACAACAGATGATATAACTTTCGGAACAAAGAATGGTACTTTAGTTGCATTTAAAGTGAATAGTACTTATTAGGTAAGTCTATTTATCTTTGGCAGGGGTGTAAGGCTTGGGTTGTGCCCCTGATGAAGATTGGACTAATCATCATGGTCCATCATTGACTGTTCTTACATCCTTTATTCAAGTCAGTGGGCATTGCCCTATGACATGGGCTTAAGATTTGCTGAACCATTGGTGATTTGTTCATTTGTTGGGTTCAGACATACCTATGAAGACATGTCTGTATAAGGTTTAAACTTGGTTGTGCTTTTGTCAATTTTTAGTTTTTTGCTTTCCATTTCTTTGTGTTCTAATCATCCATAATCTAGTAATGTTACTCTAATTTGATGATGAATGAACATCTTAGGCCACTTCTTGGCTTTCCATGTTATCCCAATTAAGCTTTGTTGAGTCATTTCCTACATTCATATGTTTATACCATGTAAAATATTTGGTTGACTTCATCCTCTTCCCAACTAGGTGTGTACATTGAGAAGCATTTCTTTCTAAATTTTTGTTGCTTTTAACTTCCTATTCGTAATTCAAAGTCAGAGGTCTACATTGTCATCAATTATTGTTCTGTTTCCTTTCCTCAATTTGGACTATGCTGCATTACTTTGCTTCTTTCCTTGTTGTGACTCATTCTCTTAAACATATCTCTTTGCTTGCTCTATTTGCTTCTATCTTTTGTTGGTGCTTTTCTTTGTTTCTCTCCTATAACGTTGACCATGGCCACAACCTATCAAGTTGAAATTGAATGGAAAGTTTTTGCAATTTATATGAGGTCTATTTGAGTTTTAATTAGTTTTTGAGCTCATAAATATATCTGTTGGATCTGTTTCTAAGTCCTGGCCAGATTTTGTGATCCAGCCATAATCAATAGTAATAATTTAATTGTTTTTCCTTTAATAACTTTACCTCTTTACGTAAGAAAAGCGTGAGGCATATCATTTGTTTGAGTAGTTTATTTTCATATAACAGTTAGGTAAAACTATTTTACTCATATCTTCCACTCTTGTATTCTTACAATCCTATTGCTTCTTCTTCATATCTTATGGTAAACAACTGGACTCAGTCAACATGATGTTGCTCTGCAACTACCAAGTTTGCAACCATTCTTCTGTGCAACTTGTGAAGCTGTAGTTTTAGCTTCAACAAGGAATTGATTTATTGCTGAAATATAGTTTTTATAGAGGTTTACTGACAATTTTAGGAAAAAATGGTATTCTATCTGTCGTGTAATACTCTCTCCGGACATGCACACATAGCCTTAAATTTGATGATAAGTAGTGTTCTTGGGAAAGGAATGAGGGAGTGATGTTCTGAAGACAGCTAATAAATAGTTTAAACTATTGAATATACTTGTGGAAGAATACATCTAATTCTGAGATCTCAACTACCAGCTTGTTTAATGGAGTTTTTTTATTTTCTTTTCTTGAATATAGACTATAGAACAGTAGCTTTTGCTGGCTTGTTGGAGCAAATGGATGGCCAAAAATATTCTTTTAACTTGCTTATAGCATTTAATATTTCAAATAATGACTTCTTGACACAAAGTAGTGGACTTCATGTCTCTTGATCCTCCCATGTGCTTGATGTTCTTGTATAATATAAGATCTGTTGAAATTGAGTTTTATGATTAGTCGCCGCATCTCTTTCATGCACACAATACATCATGAAGAGATTGTTGCTAATGCTGCAGGATGATAAGTCAAATATGTAGCTGTAGGTAAGCAGCCTGCTCTGAACTCCAAACAAGTTGAGAATATTTGTGGGACACCTCCATTTGTGTAAAACTGTGGTTACCTAACATTTTGTTTTGAGGATTCTTAGAAACATTCAATGGAGCATTTGTTTATATGGTTTCAGGAATTATGGAATTATTTGGAAGTGTTGTGTAATAATCGGCATAGCTGATAGAGAATCTGTTGTGTTGGGCACCGCCAGGCATCGAGCCCTACCCACGCTGCTTTGTCGCAGCTCGCTTCTCGTTTCTTTTTTTTTTTTTTTTTTCTCATAATCTCTTCTTCGTCAAAATTAATTTGATATTCTTTTCTTCCTTTTTGCATCCGACAACAGAAAACTCCGTCTCACCCATCGGAATACTTTGAGAAATTGTAACTGTAAATGTATACTATTTGCGTTATTTTCTATAATGTATTTGCCTAATTCTTTTTCTAACGATCGATTCAACTTCTTATTAAAAAGATATACCTTTGATTATATCTAATCTCTTCAACAAATTTAGTAACGAATATAACGGTCCTATTATTTTGATAGGAAGAAAAACTTATTATTAGCTTTATAAGAAAATTTTAAAATGAATAATTTTATTAAAATCTTTCAATTTCTTATTTTACTATTTTTTGGGTCTCTTAGCCTTAACAATGTCGGAAAACTTTCGGGGTGGGTCAATGCAATTGACGTTGTCACGACTTTGAATAAAAGCAACGAAACTTATAACAAATCATTTTTCTCGTTATCTTTTTTATATTCTCCTTTGTTTTCATTTAAAAGCAACACGCCGTTGACTTGTACACCAATCCTCATCCCTATAATTTCTGTAAAAGAAATAAAAATAAACAATTTGATTCAAAAGTAATGATAGCTGCAATATTTTTTCAGATAAAACTTCCGAACATCATCCTTTAAATTTTTTACCATTCGTATATTTTTTATCATATAAAAATTATACGGTAGAATTCATTTTTTTATAAAAATATAAAATATTTTTTTTTAAATTTTATTAAACTCATTAAAATTTTATCTTATATTATTTTTATATTATATTTATATTTTTCATAATATATTATATTTTAAATTATCAAACTTACAGCCATTATAATTTTGTAATTTTTATTTAAAAGAAACTAATCCTCGCTAACGTTATCACAGCTCACATTATAAAATAAATACTTTTCATATTTGTATTATAGTGGAATTGGTCAGCCCAAATTGAAATTTAAATATATATAAAATTAAGTAAGAACCAACAAATAAAAAAAGAAAAGAAAAGATTGAAATATAAATAATCTAAACCAAAAACAATTAAAATTATTTATTTATTATGCCTTCAAAAAATTATTTAATTATTACAATAATAAAAGTTGTTCTGGGGATGGGTGACTGCCTTTATTCTCTTATTGTCTGTTGTTTTCGTTCGTGTAGGCGATGTTAGGGTTTAGGCTTTACCCAAAGTCTAAGTGAATACGGCGTCGTTGGTACACTAATTAATGAAAAAAAGCAACTCCTTATTTTCGTAGACTTTAAGCAGCCGTTCAATTCCCTCCAGAAATCCATACTTTCCTTTTGATTAACCTTAAAAAGACCAGGTAAAGGTCTGTCTGTCAACACTTTATCAAGGCTTGGAAACGGAGGCAGCATCTTTGACGGAGGCGTCAACACCGCCGTTACCCATTGTGGCTGACTGGACAGTCAACAGGGACATGCTAGGCGAGGAAGACCCTTCGCCGCTTGATTGAAGTGACCGGTAATTGCTGCTGGTGGTATTTTGGTTTACATTGTTGATCATCGGGTTCCTGGAATGACAGGTGGTAGTTGAGATGGCGGTGACGAGGGAGATTGGCATGAGGCAGAGGCCCTTCCCCTGCAGGTACTGCATGGCGGAGCCCATGTCCTGCTCCATTAGCTTGGCCACCTGGTGCTCCGTCACCGTTAGACCGTCATCAGTTGACGACGGTGTATTACCGTTAGAATTTCGTGGAAGGGACCCGCCATCGCCACTCGTTTGAATACTACAATCACCTCCCTACAATTATAAAAAAATAAAATAAAATTGTACTCTTTTATGATTGTCCTTTTGTTTTTTTCTTTCAGAGTGAAAAAAAAAAAACTAAAAAAGAAAGAAAAAGTTTGAGAGAGAAAGAAAGAGAGAGGAATCTGTGAAAGTGGGGACAGCACGCTGCACGGGTGCTTTGTCGTGTAGTGATGAGATGCGGAATGGTCGGATTTGAGACAAGACAATAAATGAACTTGAGAATTTAAAATACCATACAGTTAAAATATATAAAAATAGTATAAAATAAAAATTATGAAAAATAATATAATTTAAAATTTTAATAAATTAAAAAATATATTTTATATTTTCATATCAATAAAAAATAACATATAATTTTTATATAAAATATTATATAAATAAATAAATAAATTATTAATATTTTATACGATCAAATAAGAATTACCAAATCTAAAAGCTTTTATATGCCTACATTTCTCACAAAATCACATGTACACTTCTCTCATTCCTTTGTTTTTTTTTAATGGAATGGAGGCAAAAATCTCAAGTTTTTTTATTACCAAAATAGAGACGAAATTACCTCAATTTTGTTTATTCAAATGTTAATACAAGGTTAAAATTCTGGTACCAAAAATAAAAGGTGAGATGTTTGATTCAAGTTACCTCAGAGGGCATAGAAGCGACATGAGAAGCAACAGCAGCACCGCCCAATCTGCTCATACTCAGAACCTGTAATTCCAAGAAACATTAAAGAAGGGAAGCAAAGGAATTTTAATTTCAGAAAATAACTAAAAGTAATAAATTTAAATCATCTTTAAAACAATGTCAACCAGACAGGGAAATCTTTTAATTAATTATAAAAAAGTATATATATATTTCTTAAGTAATGCTGCTGAAAGAATAGAATAAAAAGATTGAAAGAGAAAGTGAGGGAACCTTGACTTGGAGCTGGAGGAATTTGACATAGTCGATAATCTCATCAAGCATTGAAGCTTTATCTGTCTGTCATTCCAAAACCCCAAAGATCACAATGCTAATTAAAACATAAACATGTACGTATTTATAAAGAAGTCTACCTTGTTGGCATTGGGAACCAGTTCCTGAAGAGCTTTCATTCTCTCTGCAATTCTCTCTCTGCGTAACTGCCAAACACATCATTTCAGAATACGGATCGGATAATATCATTTTTGAGCTTCGTTTGTTTGGTACAAAGCAAACAAACAAATGTTCATGAACTTCCATGGAACCCCAAACAAGAGAGAAAAAAACTGATTCAAGAAAAGAACCAACGAAGAGGATTAAAGAAGAGTTCTCTTACTCTTTCAGCGATACTGTGGGGATCAGTAGCTTGACCCCTCCGAGCCCTAACTCTTTGTTTAGGTTGAGCCGGTGTACACCCCGTCGTCGAACCACTTGCCTGACTTTGGTTCATCGCTGTTCCTGCAGTAGCTCCAATGTTTTGTGCAAGAATAGTCTCTCCCTGAACAATTAGGAGTTTTATAAATACTAAATTCGAGTCAGTAGGCTCGTAGTGTTTCTTTCCTTGTAAAGAGATAGAGAGAGAAAGAGGAACGAGGCGTGCCTGAGGATGGTGAAAATGCTGAGGCTGGTTCGATGGCAGATTAGTTCCACGCAGAGATCCAGCACCAAAACCATTATAGAAAGCTTGCACAGAACCATCTCCTCCCTGCAAAAACAACAAATTAATCACTCATTATCATTCATATCTATATCTATATCTCTCTCTCTATATATATATTTATATATGTATATATCTCAAAAAAGAAGCCAAACAGGAAACCAAGTGTACTAAAAACTAAGGTGAACCTGATGATTAGGGGGTTTAAACAAAGAACCATCAACGATATCGTTCTGATGAGACCCAGCATCATCAGGACCCAAAGAGAAGGGGAGAGTCAACCCTCCTCCTCCTCCTCCTCCTCCACAAGCGGCAGCGGCGGTGTTTCCCTCTAACATCGTCTGCTGTTGCATCATCTTCATAACTGCAGTAGCGGGAGAACACACTCCTCCGCCGTTGATTTGGTGTTGTCTAAGCTTGGAAGCTAGAATCTCGTCATAGTGGAACCCAACATTGTTGTCTGGATTATAAGGACCCGTTTCATCGGATTTAGGTGGGTCCCAAGTCGACTTGATGTCGGACCATGAGCTAGAAGGGAAAGTGGAGAGCATCTGTTCCAAGAAGTCATCGTGGGACGATGTGGTTTCGAGCTGTGAGTTTTGTATCTGTTGGTGACCGTTGCCCTGAAGGTCTTGGAGAGGGATTTGTTGATAAGGTTGGTTTAAAAGAGAGTTCATTGCTTGCATTTCGCGGCTACAAGGCTGCATATATAATTCTCAAAAACAACTCCTCACAAGAAAAGAGTAAGAGGAGTTGAATAAGTAGAAGTGTTTGTCTTTTGATAAGTGATTTTAGAGAAATGGAAACTGACAGAGAAACCTAAGAGGAAACTTGAGGGGTTTTGGGGTTTGGAATGGTTTTGATTTTCCTTTTATCTTTTGTTGCTGAAGAGTGAAGATGAAGCCTCTTCTCTCTTCTATTGGGAAGACAAAACAACTCAGAATTACCAACTCTTCTCCAACCATACCAATATCCTTATTGGGTCATCCACGGTAGCCTTAGTACGCGAAGGGCTTTGCATCCAAATTTTTATTGGTGTATTTGTATTGATAATTTATATATTTATATTGTATTTTACATAAAAATTATATGATATAATTTATGTTAATATAAAAATATAAAATATATTTTTTGATTTTATTAAATATATATAATTTTGTTAAAATTTTAAATCGTATCATCTTTATATCTTTATATTTATATCATTGTTTAGATTAATAAATTTATCATTTACTCCAAATTTAACCACCATAATTAATTTTTTTCCTTTATATCTAATTTTTCCCTCAAATTTGGGTGAATTTGTTGAATTTAGTAATATTTAAGTGAAAATTTGAAAACATTAAACAGTTACCATTAGTGATAATCTTGAATTTGTTAAAATCAATCAAAATTAAATTTGAAATTCAAGTAAATTAATTCATACAATCATTTTTAAAAATATTTTTTAAATTAGAATTTAATACTTTTAACCTCTTTTCCTAATTATGACTTTCTGTAAAAAAAAAAAAAAAATCAAAACATTGGATACATTGACCTTTTATGAAGTTTTTTTTCGTCTTGAAAGTTTCAACAAGATCATAATTTTACCTTCATTTTAATTGAGGCATAATGGCTTTGAACATCATTATATTCCAATTACTGCAATACATTCACCTAAGTATCTATTTTCCCAATGAAAATTCGAGTTAACATTTAACTTTAAGTTCATAAATTTCGGTATTCCTCTCCTATCAACAAAAAGTATAGAAAAGAATTGATTTTCCCAATGAAAAATACTAATTCTAAATCTGGGTTGCTGTAAATAATCTACAAAATAAAGATAATAACTTGGTACGATCTGTCTTTCTCCAACATACCCTCTTCCTTTCTATATGTACAAATTAAAGAAAACCCACAGAATCCAAGACCTCACATATGCATGGATCCTGATACAACTCAATGGTGATGATCAGTTTCATTGCAGGCTCAAACCTTGTTTGCTGAACCACAACCAAAACAACAAAATCATGATTGCATAGCTTTCTGTTAATATTGTTTGATGATGATATCAGAATATATTCTAATCCTTTTATTTGTAAGATACGATCTTAGTTGTATGAATCTTAAACCCCCAAGATATTTGTACGAAAGATCATATATTCGATTATGAAATCTTTCGTCATATAAAAAATGCCCCCCAGGAACTTTCCTGGAACTAGTCCTACTAGCAACGTTATTTGCTTTGAATAAGAGCAATTTCAGTCTGTCTGTCTAGTTTTTGAGATCATGGTTTAAAAAATTGTTAGAGATATTTTTAGGTTCAAAGGTCATATTGATTATTCTCTTTATTAGGATCTATTAGTAGATAATTAGTGATATTTTAAAATTTTAAGCCGACTTAATATGTCAAATTAATTTGTCATGTAAAGTATCACGTTAATTTGATTATATTATTATTTTATTTCATAAATCATTCATTTTACAATTATAAATAGAGATATTCAGATATTATCATTTACTTTTCGTTTTATTTTTACATATTTATTTTTTCTTTTTCGGCCTTTTTTATATAAATCTGTGATTGAAATGTCATAATGCAAATATAAATAACACTTTATCTTTGCTTTTAACCCCTGGTGTATTTTATTTGTAATTTCAGGATTTTATCCTTAGGTTCACCAACCAAAATATATAAATAAAAATTCTATGGTGGAAAGTGGCTGAAGACCTTCAAGACGTAAGATCGAACCCAGTTGAAGAAAACATTGGAAAAGATAATTAAATAGAGTTTTGCTTTTGTAGGTAAATGTCCTGTCTTTTGCGGACATCTAGGATGCCCGCACACCATACCGGGGCACACTAACACATCCACGCACACCATTAAGGCTCACATTAAAATCTGAGTCAAGCTTTCATACCAATCTTCATGGATTGAGATGATTAGATTCCCTTTACACCTCAAACCCACCCACAAGTTTAAACATTTTTCTGTCACGGCGATACAATTATTGATTATATGAATTATAGGATATGCTTATCTTTTAAAGCAATGCAACTTCTATTTGGAAATCGATTCTTCCTTTTGCTAAAAATCATAATATATATTTCAAATGGCTGTTTGCAACAAAGTTAACAATTAAGTAGTACCCTAAACTCTTTATTTTTGGGTATAATTATTCTAAGTAAATATGTAGGAATGTGCTCCAATGGTATCTCCAAGCAAGTTGATGATTGGAATGAGGAATTTACTTCCATTAATCATTTGAAAGTAAAATCTTTAAGAATCTTAATCCTTAAAATTGCTTGGTGTGTTCACATTTATTTTATATGAATTAAACGTAATTCCGAAATGTCTGATTTGAGGAGATGAACTATTAAAGACGTGTCTCATTTAATTCAAATGGTTGTCAAGTTCCGATTGTATGGTCTGATTCAAGTAGATGCTATTGGGAATTGAAAGCTTATATCAAAATTGAAAGATTTCATTACCTATATATATTGTATAGTTGGTTTCATTCATCTGGATGTATAGTATTGTTGGTGTCCTTTCATCTTGAAGTCTAGTTATTTTGTAAAATTTTTTTAAAACAAGTTTTTTTTTTCTTGCTTCTTCTTGGATAATAAAATTGCTATTTATCCAAAAGAAACTTTTATTTTGCAATAATTAATGGAATACGAATAAGATAAAAACATACATATGCAAATGATCTTGTTTTAAAAAGAAACAAAGCCTTTTATTTTGAAGTTATAAGCAAAAGCTTAGGATATTATTACATCATATATTCCAATATAACTTGCCTATGTCTCCATGGACGTGGTGAATTTCCTAAGTATGCTTCTTTTTCCATGTTTTAGTAACCTTCGGAACCGATTCTCTTGCCAAATTGATCTTTGATCATGTGGTTTAATACAAAGGATGCTGGTCTGGAACACATAGTTAATTGTTAGGTGACTACAACTTTAATTCTTAGCATTTTATTCTTCAAATTTCAGAAATTTCATTATCAATTTTCAATGTCTGGTAAAAAAAAAAAAAAAAACCACTGGTAATTGAAAAAGTTATCAATGTAATCTGGGACTAGGATTGGGTTTAATTGAAAAGATCCTGGGAGTTGAAACCATTGAACATTGAAACAGTCCATCACAAGCGTAAGTGGCTCTTGTCTGGGCTTTGGGTCCTATCTCTGGCAGTTTCTTGGTGTTTTCTTTTCTTTTGGGTTTCAAGTGGACAGACAAGACATAAAACAAAGATGAGAAATTTGAATATACAGTAAGTGGAGTGCAAGAGATAAAAGTAGTTGTCTTATTTTAATCATTTGAAATTTGCTTAGGCAAAGGGTGACATTTTTGTCGGATGAGGTTGTAGGGTGAAGCACTGCAACAAACAAAGTAGTTTCAGAATGAAGACAAAATACTCCCCCAGTTGCAATTGATGATGCAGGGATCATGATGATGGGGATAGGGATGAGAGATCGAGCCCCTCCACGCCACGCCCTCATAATTTGGAATGTCCATTGCCTGCATCATTTTGTTCTTTTGGTCAAGAAACCGGGCACAACTCCATAATTATGAGGTTTCAATCAGTTCATTCAAAGCTTCGCTAAACGAAGCAATGCAGCGTATCATAGCCAAGTCTTCAAAATATGATAAACCAAATCACTAACTCAGCAGAAACTTTTTCATTTGATAACACACAATTTAGTTGCGGCTTGGTGATTTGCCCGTCTCCATTATTCATCCTTTTTCACTGAAAGTATCATTTTTGCTTTCGGTTCTTACCTTTCAGCAAGGAAAGAAGTGCTATAATTTCTTATACTAAGTTTGTCCTGAATTATTGTTACGATTACTCATCCTATACATATGTAGAGGTGTTTATGAGCTAAAATAGATTCATATTTAATATTAATAATTGATATATTTATTTAGGTTTAATCCTTTTGAATCTTAAAATTTTTTCAAACTCAATTCAAATTGAAAATATAAATTTCATACACATCCCTTAAACTCAATTTATAAAATAATAAATCAAAATTTTTGTTTTTTCAAATAAAAATTTATATATATACTTATATAATTATAATATTTTAATTATATATTTTATTTAGATCATATTCAAACTTTGATTTTTATCCAAAACTTAATCTAAAATTTAAATAAATCTAAATATTATGCCCAGTTTTAATTTTGCGTTCAAACTCTATTTAACGGATAGCTTCGCCCTTAAACTGGTGTACTTATATATCCTTCTTACTTTGCTAAACGTAGGGTTTGGCGTCTTCGTTTTCTTGACTGCACCGTTTCTTGGTCTTAATCTCATTCCTGTTAGTTTATGCTCTTGTTGTGTTTTTTCTTATAGAACAATTCCTTTTATTTCTGTGACCAAAAATACTGAAGAATGAAACATTCCTTTTGTTTAGCTTTCAGTGTTATATTTAGCTAAAAGATCTGCTTGGTTGACTTTGTTTTTCTCTTTTGCTACCAGGAAGCAGAGTTTCGGATCCCAACTTTAGCTAAAAAATGTCTGGAAAAGTGAAAACTTATTCCTCTGTAAATGTTCAAGGTTATGTTGAGTAGAATATTAGTGTTAGTTACATGAAATTGGATCTGTTTGTTTGGTTTGTTTTAATATATCTATAAGACTTCAAGTTGTTTGCATTTTCACTATATGGGCTTTTGGTTTTGTTTGCTTTAGCGTGGAATAAGTTGCTATGGTATTTATTGTATGCTAATATAGGATGCAATGTATTTTGTTTGAGATGATTTGCATATTTGTTTGAATTGGTTGTTTTGTTCCAGATTTGTTAGAAATTAAAAGTTTCTTAGGGTTTATTGGATATTTGTTTTTGCATTGAGAGTAGTTGAAGAAAGTATTTCCATTTTGTCTCATATTGATATTAAGTATTATTTTGATTCCATTGTGTCAACAAAAATTTCCATTTTCATAGCTTCCCAAACCCATCATTTTCTTTCCAACCTTTGTTTCTGTCTGATGTCTGTATTTGTTTCTTTGAAAG